GTATGTAATGCACGGCTTTGTGGTGCCTAACCAATAATTATCAGATATGCATACATAATCCACTCCTTTCAGAAACGTATCTTTACGTGCCCAAAGGAGATCATCCAGACCTTCACTACCACTTTCCTCCATACCTTCAAAAACAAACTTAAATGGAGATAAAGTTAGTGTAAAAAATTAAAAGAAAGTATGCTATGAATAATTTAAAAATTGTAGCACCTTAATATTGACAGGAATATCAACCCCAATAGCTTTATAAGCTTGCAATGCATGGATCCAGCAAAGTACGGGACCTTTGTCGTCTGTACTTCCACGACCGAACAATTTGCCATTTTTTTCAACGAGTGTAAATGGTTCTGTATCCCAGCCATCTTCCTTTAATGCTGGTTGGACGTCTAAATGCCCATACAAGAGAACAGTCTTTTTCTTTGGGTCGCACCCAAGAGACCCTAGCAAGGCAGGTGGAAGTGCAATTTCACTTCCATCTGGAAGTGTTTGTATCCCTATATCTACTAATTCTGTAATAGTTCCAAGATCCTTTAATTTGGCTTCTGCCCATTTCATCATTTTAATAATTTCGTTTCTGTGATCTGCCCATGCTGAGACAGATTTTATAGCTACTGCTTCACGTAAATTATTTATGTATTCTTTCTGGTGGTCATCAATGTAGCTAAAAATTGAACATATAGCACTTGTATTCAAAGTTCTTCTAAACTACTTGTATAGATAAATCAGTAAATTTGTCGAATTACAATTTCAAGATAACCGAGATAAGTACATGAGTTTGAAAGATTCCAATTTTAAAAATTAAATAAGAGTTCAATTTATAATGTTTGAATAAGAGTTTAATATACAAATATTATCATTAAGTACAAGATATTTAGAGGCCCACATTATGTCCTAAAAGACATTTATCGGAAGTTGTTAGCTTATTAAACAAATACGATTTGTGAAAAACTGTGGTACTTATATATCGCTCATTAATAGCATAATTATTTGCATACCTAAACAGCTGTTTTAAAGGTGTTGGAAGTTCTTGAGCCATTCTATTAGTTTTATTTCGATCAGACACCGACTGTATCAAGCATATTCTTGACAACTAATAAACTGAAGTTCTTTCGTTACAAGTATATGATGATCATATTATGATCAGAATGATTAATGAAGATAACTCTTATCTCATGGGAGGGGCATATCAGAGCATAGCAACAAATCGGACTAGAACTATAGAGATATTACTAGAACACGGTCGTATCGACCATATGTATACGACCGTGGACTAGAACTATCGATGGTACTATCGATAGTGAATCGTGTAATGCGGAGATGGCTTCACACCCCTCGTCTAATGTACGGGTTTATGGATTGGTATGGTGGAATCGAATAAAACGATCCAAATATTATCAAAGTAATCTCTTACACACTTTCCACGTTTCAAATGAGATTCGTAAAATTTCTGTTTTATCTAAAGTGATACAATTATCAGCATAATTGGGTTTTTTTGCGTCAGCATGAATTAGCAACTTTTTAAGAATGTTTATGAAGTCATAACAAATGAGATTATTATTGTTATCTCCTTTCCTTTTCATGGCACTAAAGGAAATTTTAATGTGGCCTTGAGGCAACTTGTATGTCAAAAGATTATAATTTTTAAAATAACTATTATAAATATTTATAACATTTTCAAGCGAATGAATAATTCCTTGAAATCCATTTTTCTTGCGCGAGTAAATAAGTAGCAATTTTTAAGTTTAATAATATAAAATATTTAAGTAAGGCATTGCGTATTCATTTAAGGACTTGACCCATCACAAATGATATATACATCTTCTTGGATGTGGAAAGCAATGTTTACCGTACTTTTTTTAAAAAGTGGAAGCACCCAATATATTACACATCGTGGTATTTGTCTGTGTCATAAGAGGATGGGACAAACATTTTACAAAAGCTTTCCTGACATAATTATACGCTTTCGGTAAATGAAAATGTAAAGTCGTAGCAAAAGAGCGGAAACTCGGAGCAAATGCTCTTCTTTATTTTGTTTATTTTGGTCGTTGCAATATACGCTTAAATAAATGACTTGCTTGTGCAGGTACAGAATCCTAAAGAAATAACAAGAGAAATAATGTATTAAACTATTTTTTTATTATACTCATTTATACTATGTACTGTGTATGTATCTACTACAGCCGAGAGGAACGCGGAGCAAAGTTAGGCAAGGACACAGAGAGGGTTCGTATCATTTTCTTTCTCTGTTGTTCTCCGATCACTTTTTCGGATTGTCTGCGCGGTTTATTCTTAAATGTGCATGTTTTTATCTCTATGCTGGTCATCGCTAACTAAACTATCGATAGTCCTCTACCAGTACCCTAAATATATTCCTAAGTCCGGTGCCGATTGGTTGATATGCTCCTTCCATGAGATAAGACTCATCTTTATTCATTATTTTGTTCATATATACTGAAAAACTTCGGTTTATTAGTTAGTTGTAAAAAATCTAGTTGATACAGTGATAGTCAGTGTCTGATCGAAATAAAACTTATAGAATGGCTAAAGAACTTCCAACACCTTTAAAACAGTTGTTTAGGTATGCAAATAATTATGCTATTAATGAGCCATATATAAGTACCACAGTTTTTCATAAACCGTTTTTGTTTAATAAGTTAACAACTCCCGAGAAATGTCTTTTAGGACATAATATGGGCCTCTAAATATCTTGCACTTAATGATAATATTTGTATATTAAACTCTTATTCAAACATTATAAATTGAGCTCTTATTTAATTTTTTAAATTGGAATCTTTCAAACTCATGCACTTATCTCGGTTATCTTGAAATTGTAATTCGACAAATTTACTGATTTATCTATACAAGTAGTTTAGAAGAACTTTGAATACAGGTGCTATATGTTCAATTTTTAGCTACATTGATGACCACCAGAAAGAATACATAAATAATTTACGTGAAGCAGTAGCTATAAAATCTGTCTCAGCATGGGCAGATCATAGAAATGAAATTATTAAAATGATGAAATGGGCAGAGGTCAAATTAAAGGCTCTTGGAGCCATTACAGAATTAGCAGATATAGGGATACAAACATTCCCAGATGGAAGTGAAATTCCACTTCCACCTGTCTTGCTAGGGACTCTTGGGTGCGACCCAAAGAAAAAGACTGTTCTCTTGTATGGGCATTTAGACGTCCAACCAGCATTAAAGGAAGATGGCTGGGATACAGAACCATTTACACTCGTTGAAAAAAATGGCAAATTGTTCGGTCGCGGAAGTACAGATGACAAAGGTCCCGTACTTTGCTGGATCCATGCATTGCAAGCTTATAAAGCTATTGGGGTTGATATCCCTGTCAATATTAAGGTGCTACAATTTCAAAATTATTCATAGCATACTGTTTTTAATTTTTTATACTAACTTTATCTCCACTTAAGTTTGTTTTTGAAGGTATGGAGGAAAGTGGTAGTGAAGGTCTGGATGATCTCCTTTGGGCACGTAAAGATACGTTTTTGAAAGGAGTGGATTATGTATGCATATCTGATCATTATTGGTTGGGCACCACAAAGCCATGCGTTACATACGGCTTAAGAGGTGTCTGCTATTTCACAGTCGAAGTAATTTGCGCTGCAAAAGATTCACATAGTGGTACATTCGGCGGGGCTCTGCACGAGGCAATGCCGGATTTGATATATTTGTTAAACGCATTAGTCGACACAAAGGGTAAAATATTAGTAGACGGTATTTATGAAAAAGTTGATAAGATCATGACAAAGGAACTGGAAATGTATAAGCAGATTGAATTTGACGTTGACGAGTTTCGAAATTCTATAGGAGCTAAACGTTTAGCTCATAACGAAGATAAGGTGAATATATCTATAATTAATGGACATTTACTGATAATAGAATTAACATACTTTGTTTCGTAATCATTATTCTTGCAATTGTTCCCTCCGATTCTAATTTATCAAAAATTTTGAAAAAAGATTGGAAATGTATTGCTATTTGAGTAGTATG